AATTCTATCACTATAAAACTCGCTGATAGTCATAAAAAGAAAGTCAACTTGTCTGTGACAATCAAGAAATTAAAATTAGATATATATCACACCTCTAATATCAATGCTCAAGTTCTTAATATTCAACACTATAATCTTATACTTGGTAAATCCTGGCTTTATCATGCTAATCTCACTAATAATTAGTATAATAATTCCATGATATTTCGCTATAATAATAAAGTAATCAAGGTCAATGCTAGTCAAGATAAACTTGCACCTAGTTGCAACTCTCTTTATGTATCTCATCAATAATTTGCTGAACTTTCATCTAATGTTAAGTTATTTATAATTTGTACTGCTGTAAAAGAAACATATCAAGAAGTATTAACTCCTCGAGAAGCCACCTAATTAATTAAAGAATTTACTGATATCTTTCCTAACTTCTTGTCTAATGAACTACCACCAAAATGAGCAATTGATCATGCTATTGATTTAATACCTGGCTCTGAACCACCTTCTTATCCCACCTATCACTTGTCATATATTGAAATAGATGAATTGAAGAAACAATTATCTGATTTACTTAGCAAAGATTTTATTCATCCTAGCCTTTTACTATTTGGAGTGTCTGTCTTATTTATATATAAGAAGGAAGGAACTCTTTATCTTTGTGTAGATTATCATGTCTTAAACAAAATTACAATTAAAAATTGATATCCTTTACCTCGTGTTGATGAATTAATGAATCATTTAGCTGGAGCACAATATTTTTCTAAATTGGATCTTTACTTTAAATACCATCAAATCAGAATCAAGAAAGAAGATATTTATAAGATAGCATTCAGAACAAGATATGATCACTATGAATTTCTTATACTTCCCTTTGGTCTCACTAATGCGTCCACAACTTTTATGACTCTGATGAATAATATTTTTCATGACTATTTAGATAAATTCGTTATTATTTATCTGGATGACATCCTTATATTCAGCAATACTAAAGAAGAACATCTCCAACATCTTCGTATTGTTCTTTCTAAACTTCGTGAATATAAGCTCTATACCAAATTGAAGAAATATGAACTCATCAAATAATATGTTAAATACTTAGGTCATTTTATATCAGGTCAAGAAATATCAGTTGATTAATGCAAAATTATCACTATTCGAGACTGGCCTCAACTAACTAATATCTCTAAGCTTTGGTCATTCTTAGGTCTTGCTAGTTATTATTGGAAATTTGTTAAAGATTTTTCTGCAATTGTCTCACCACTCACAGCCTTACTTCATAAAGATCAAGAATATATCTGGAATAAGCTTGAACAAAAAGTATTTGACAATCTAAAATAATATTTAATTACTGTATCTATCTTAATTTTACCGGATTCTAAACTGCCTTTTACAATTATAACTAATATATCTGAGTTTGCTATAGGAGCCATTCTTAGTCAAAACCATAGAAAAGGAGATCAACCTATCACCTATGAATCACGTAAATTATCTGCAGCTGAACAAAACTATCCTATACATAAAAAAGAACTTCTTGCTATTGTACATACTATTCATCTTTGAAAACCTTACTTGGAAGGACAACAATTTACTGTTATCACTGATCATGCATCTCTTGAGTATATCAAAACACAACATAATCTTTCTAAATGACAAGCTCGCTGACTAGAAACCTTACAAGCTAATGATTTGATTATTAAATATAAATCAGGAAAAGAAAATATAGTTGCTAATGCTTTGTTACATCCATCCCAAGCAAATAATATCACCATAATTTCTACACAACTTATTGATGATGAAAAGTTACAACAAGAATATGAGAATGATAAATATTTCAAGGAAATCTGAATAACTTTACATAATTTTGAAGCATCTACACCAAAGCAATAAGCAAGAACAATCACTTTGAGTTAAGAAATAATAAAATTTATCTGAAAAATACTAATCAACTAGCTATTCCAAAAGATAAAAATTTGAGAACTCATATTTTGGAGAAACATCATGATATCTCTATCTCTGATCATTTAGGAATCGATAAAACTTATGAGCGCTTACAAAGATCATATTATTAGCCAAAAATATCCAAGAATATTCGTAAATACATTTTCAGTTATGAAGAATACCAAAGAAATAAATCTAGTAATCAGTCACCCTCAGATCTTCTATAACTATTGAAAACTTCTAAATAATGCTGGGAACAAATTACTATAGATTTCATTATGCAATTACCTATAACTCACCAAGAATACAATACAATTCTAGTTATTATCAATTATCTCACTAAACATGCATATTTTATTCCTACTCATACTACTATCACTGCATCTGAAGTTACTAAATTATTCTTCAACAATATATTTAAATTACATGGACTATCTCAAGTTATAATTTCAGATTGTAATGTCAAATTTACTAGTCTCTTTTGAAAATCTCTTTTCAAACAACTCGGTACTAAGTTAGCTATGTAAACTACATTTTACCTACAAACTGATAAACAAACTGAAAGAATAAGTCACACTTTAGAAGAAATGTTAAGAATTTATTCAACTTACAATCAAGATTGCTGGGATGAACATCTTGCTACTGCTGAATTTGCATATAATAATTCTATTCAAGCTTCTATAGGACATACATCTTTTGAACTGGATTGTAGTCAATATCTGATTACATCTACAACACTTAATACAGATAATAAAGTCGCTGCCACTAATGAATTTGTTCAATACTAGAATAATATAATAAAAAATGTAAAAGATTTATTAATAAAAGTACAGGATTGTCAAACTAAATATATAAATCAACATTATTATTTTCAAGAATTTAAAATTAGAGATCAAGTCTTACTTTTAACTCGTAATATTATTAATCTTGTGGATAAATAATGCCCTAGTAAAAAGCTTACACCTAAATATATTGGTCCTTTCACTATTCTTGAAGTTATTTTACCTGTCACATATAAACTGGATTTACCTTCACATATGAAAATTCATTCTGTTTTCCATATTTCATTGCTAAAGTCTTACAACTCTAATAATAATAAATTATACCTGAAACTAATGAAGAAGAATATGAAGTTGAAGCAATCTTGAATAAAAGAATTATTCGAAATAAATCTCAATACTTAGTCAAATAGTTAGATTACCCTCTTCATAACTTTACTTGGAAATCTCTGAAAAATCTTTATATGGTACGCAAACTCTAAAGCCATCCAATACTTTAAAATGTAAAGGCTCTATAAATAAAAACATAATGATAAAAAGAAATGCATTATTAAATAGTCTTTAATAAGATCTATAAACTAATACATTTTTTATAGAAAATATCTTAAAAATTTATTACGTAGTTAGATTTTTTCTGTAGACACTTTAAATAGAAATCAATAGTAAATAGAGTGAATTTTCAGCGTTTAGGGGGGCATTTCTGATTGGCTAGATTCCACCTGTAGTCACATGTATTTAATAAAAAATAATAATTGGCTCATAATTTAATTGAGCGAAACCTTAAAGAAACCCATGCTAATGACGTTATTGATTTATTATTTTTATGCATCATTTGATGCATTTGATGCATTTTAAGGATTACAGTCAAAAATAATGACTGTTGTTTTTATTTAAAGAGGGGGAGGGAGGAGAAACATCGCTACCAAATACAAACTCCATTTTCTCGTATCCTAAACTACTCCCGAACTGATCAAGCCCTAACACTAATTCATATGACCAAACTCCTGCAAAACGCTCTTTAGAACCCGACGATGTGATTTATATTTTTTGACAATAAAGACAGCAGCTTTGCCTGAGAGATCTTGTTCGTAGGTGCTCATATATCGACCAGATCAACGCGCATAACAACGAATATTGAGGAGACCAACAGAATCTAATACCAATGGAATAATTGTCTTGAGACCCTTAAACGAATAATCATAATGAAAATATGCATACCGCTTTGCCTCACCCCAGAATGACTCAATAAAATTAAGTTCACAATGAAACTTTGGATAGAAAACGCACATGTGTCCAGCCACTTCAATGATCTCTTGTGTGTAGTTTTTTTGAGAAGCGAAATCAGGTTGATGGCCAAGAATTCCACTTGCGCAATATTGGGGATTCATCGGATTGAAAGTATGCGATTTGCAAGCACTACATTGCTTTGCCAAACCCTCTAACCACAAGCCACATTCTTCTAGGATTCGTTTGATACCCTTTGGTTTCGTTACGCCATCAACATCAACAAATGTCAGATTGTGTGGAGATCTATCAGACATTTTGCCATTGCGAAGAAGTGGTTGCTTACCGCTGTCTTTCAAATTTATCCGTGAAACCATGAGAGCATCCTCGGCATAAGCGTTGTGATTACAACTGTTATCGAACATGAAGAGTGCAATTTTTTCTGGATGTGTTCGTTCAAAAATCAGAATGGCCCTGTCAACTACTTGGTTGATAAGATCTTGATTTGTCCACCAGCCATCTCGATTGGAGCCCGGATGTATAATAACACAAGCTTCGGTATACAAAAGTCAGTTGTCCTCAGGAAGCAAATCATTTGTAATTTTCTCCTCTTCCGAAAGATGAAGACGCCCGATTGATTCACAGATAAACTCACTCACATGAACACTGAGCCCTTGTGACTTGCGCCGGAGCTGGTTTTCTTCTACTGGACCCCAGGTCTTAACGATTCCGTCATTGGCGTAAAAAATCGATTCGTCATAAGTAATTGGAACAAGTTCGGAAATATTTGTTGGGAGTATTGGCAAAATAATTTGGTCCATATTCTGTCCTTCATACACTGCAATCCGAGGCCATAGACTGGCCATTTGTTGTAAGAATTTGTTTCGATAAGCCACCACGTCTTCACGCTCATGACCATCGAAGTAAATGTCCTTTGAATGGTCCTTGTAATCCCAACCAAGATGGTGTAGCCATTTCTGAACCCTTGAAATTGAATCCAATATGAATAAATAAAGTTAGTCTTTACTATACATATCGTATCCCATATAAGTTCAAGTCCCAAAGTCAGGCCAAAGCCTGACCCTCTGTCAAATATTTGAGCAAGATATTTCTGGTACCGTTCATGTCCCAATCCATCTCCACTTCGCATAAATCACATTTAAATATTTTTAATTCTCCGAGGTCATTCTTCACGAACCCACAACACCTGCATATCTTGGATGTGTATTCCTCGGTGCACTTGATGATCTTGTAAATGCGGAACTCTCTTGCCTTATGTTGTAAGAATATCCGGAACCTGAAATGCGACCAAGTTAGCATTGCACGAGCAGTCTTCGACCAAATCTTTCTCTTATTCTTTAAAACCATTCTCAAAGATTCGAATTTAGGTAACAAGATGATCTTATAATTCGTGCACAACCATCTCGTGAGCTGATGATGGCACTCATCTATTAAATGACGGATTCGTTATATAACTCACAACATTTTTTTTTTAATCTAAATCTTTTTCTCTTGTTTGTTCGCCCTAACACAAAATCCTTGTCGCTCTGTAATTTGTCAT